TATGAAAATTCTTTCAAAAAATCAAGATATTTATTCTGTTGAATTATTTAATAATGATAAATCTCTTACAGAATATATATTTGAATTACGTCAAAAGAAAGAACAACAAACACAAATTACATCAACAACTAATGAAGTTTGTTATTGTTTATAATTGTAAATATGATTTAATAATAGTTTGATTTGATTTTTTTATTAAAGGTAATACAAGAATCTGTTGAACCAATTCCAGAATCTGTCTCTAAAATGACAACACCACCGCCAATGGTTGATGAAAATATATCACGAACATTTAACGAAAGTAAATTTTGAAAGTTCAAAAATTGAAAGCTTATTCATAAAACTTTTCCGAGACTTCAGAATCGATTATTTCTAAATTATGAATTGCGAAAGTGATTTTAAAGAAGTTATGATTCAAGAAATAATTGTAGAGTTCAAAAGAAAAAAGCAAATTTCAAGAATAATATAAGCTAAAAACACAATCAACTTGCTTATAATGTCCTTCTCTATCTGAAAAAGTTCTTAGAGCAATCTCTGCAGAATTAAAATGTGAAATACGATGTAGCTGCTATTATTAATCACATGGAAATTGTTTTATTCTATCTATTTTGGAACACACTTCTTCATCGTTCTTTTACTTAATGTTCTAGGAATGCAATAAAAAAGTAGTTATTGATATATGATATGTGATCATATATCAACATTTGCAATGATTGGTGACATAGAGCGAGGATTGTTGCTAAGATGTTTATTATGGTCTGTGAGGAGAAGGGTTCAAATGTTCATCCCTCTATACTTCAACGCTCCTTGTAGATTATGTTTCACAAAAACATAATCTTCTTAGATTTAGAATTTGATAAGAGTATATCTAGTTTTCGAGAGTTGGAATTAAGATTGAATGAGCAAACCGATGAATTTTTTGTTACTCTTTCTAGTGAGATTTTTTTAAATTAATATTTGAAAAGATGACATTATTTTTTCAATACTGTCTGTGTTTAGATGCCTGTTCAGTATCATTACCAGTTCAACCAATGATCAATGAATCTCAACGATTCACTGAAACAAGTCATAGTAATATTTTACCACCACCACCACCACCAACTACTACTACTAGAAATTTGTCTAGTACATTAAACACAGAGACCAAAGCATTGTCTACCAATGAACAAAATAGTAATAGTATTTTTAATGATAATTTAACAATTATGATCACTGAACAACGTCGACAAAATCGTTTACTTGAACAAGTTATTGCAGCAATTAATACAACGAATGCTCTTCTTACACAACTTGTTCAACGTTAAAAATAAAAGAATAGTATCTGTTTACTTGTTTATATACATGTACACGTTCAGATATATATGTATATATATATTCTATTTGTTCTAGAATATCTAGTATGATTTATTCATTTCATATTTAGACAGTGTATATCTTTGATATTGTTTTTTTTTCTCATTCTTTGTTTGTCAGTTTTTTTTCTGTAGTCAAATTTTGACACAAATTCATCATAGTAACTCAGATAGGATATGTTTATATATAGATACAGTTTTGTTTTGTTGGTTTTTTTTATATTTCTTTCATTTTGTTTTTGTACTTTGTTTTTTCTTTTTTGTTAAGATTATCATATAAAGTTTAAGAATGATGAACAAATATTTTTGTTTGATTTTGAATAGCAAAAACATATGGAAAAAGCTGCCGTTTGTTAGAATACAAAAGATCATGAAATATATCTAACTATGTTTTATAGATAAAATAATTGAGATTACATCTAAAATGAACACAATAACGAAGAGACTTTTTCCATCAATCTCAAAATTTCTATTAAAATGTAGGTATTTTTAATATGATATGTTTGCTTTTGCTTGACTAATAACTATTATGAATGCATAAGATAGGTATTTGCTTCGCAAAAAATAACCATAGCATCATTAAGAAAGAAAAATGTATTCATTTTTAAATTTATATTACCTTTGCATTGAATTAATTCAAAAGAAGTTTTGTAAAATTTACAGTTGCATTTCGTTAATGAATAACCTATAGCGATCGAAGTTTTAATTTGAAAAGAAATGTTTTCAAGATAAACAAGAAATTTTCCTCTCAATAGATGCATAATTCAAATCGGGTACTAAATTTTAATTAAATGAATTAACTTGTCTATTGTTTTTATTAAATAAATCTGATTTTCTTTTAGATCATGTAAATAATCGAACCTTTTCATCGGTCAAAAATGTAAGTAATAACAATAAAGAAATCATTGTTTTGGGTCATCGTAATCCAGATACAGATGCTATAACAGCAGCAATAGTTTACAGTGATTTTCTTCGTCAAATGAATATCAATGCTAAAGCTTATCGTCTCGGTGATCTCAATAATGAAACAAAATTTATACTTAAAACAATTGACATTAAAGAACCAGAAATGTTACCAGATAATATACCCAATGGAACAGAAATCGCTTTAGTTGATCATAATGAAAGTCATTATTGATTTAACTAGTTGATTCTTAATCTTTTTTTTTCTTGTTTTGTTATTTTTAATTTTAGGTCAACAATCAATGAAAAATTTGAATAAAATGCGTGTTACTCATGTTATTGATCATCATAAATTAGGTGATTTAACAACTTCTGATCCAATTTACATACGTATTGAACCTGTCGGATGTACTGCAACAATTTTGACAAAATTATATTGCGAAAATAATTTGAATATTGATCAAAAGATGGCTTTTCTATTGATTAGTGCTATTCTTAGCGATACACTTCATTTTCGGTAATTTATGAAACAAAAAACTAAACTTCAATAAAAAAAAAATTTTGAAACCTTTAGGGCAGGTAGATCTTGACAAGTAGAGCAAAAGTTGTTATAGACTCAAAGCTTCCGAATGCTGTCTTTTCTGAGATAGTGATATCACAATAGTCCAAATTTTCGTCCCCATTTCTCCGAGATACTATATCGATCGAACTGAAAATTTGTTTTACAGGCACTAGATATTGTTTGGGTGGATATCTTTTTATTTTTTTGTCCTTCGAATAAAAAAAAAGCCAAAATATCGAAGGTACCCTAAAATCCATATCTGCTTTTTTTGAATGAAACTGGTTTTTTGTAAGAGATACCAAATATCAGCACAACAATATTTTTTGAAATAAAGAAAAATATCCATCCCAAATAGTGTATAGTATATATAGAAAAGTTTCAGCTCGATCGGACATACTAGGCCGAAGAAATCATGGGTTTCTGCACTTTTTTTTTCATGAAAAATTGGTTTGAAAATTCCCACAACGTTCTCACGAGGGAAGGTACCCAACTGATCCACGTTGTTTTCAATGATATTTTGTCCATATGTTGAGAACATCATCCAAAGAGGATGCGGATTGATGGAGTTTCCTTCGCAGGTTATAATCCTTTTTGTTGACTTTTCCACTTAGCATAAAGATATATATATAGAAAAATCGAACGACAGTATTTCAATCCGATATTTTGTTCATATGCAGTTCTCGTAAGCATGGGAATATTTAGAGTGTTTCAACGACGACGAAGACTACATATGAGCAAAACTTTAGATTGAAATTTTGTTCCTTGGCTTTTCTGTATGTACCTTTGTAGCTAAGTGAAAAAAATCAGTAAAACGATTATAAACTTCGAAGAAAGTTCCATTAGTTCAAACCGTCTTAGAATGATGTCTCCAACATATGGATAAAATATCATTGAAAACGGTATGGATCAGTTGGACATTTTCCTTCGCCAGTAGACAGATATTACTTCAGACAATATAATGATCTCAAAAAAAAATAAAAATAAAAATTTCAGGTCACGAAAGGGACAGGCATACGCTCAATGAAGATCAACAAAAATACATTGTAAATTTCTTTATAGATCACCCACAACAACAAATGATGATCGAAAAATATTAGAATATCTTATTCCACTTGCTAAAATAGATGATATTACATCACATGCTAAGCAAATGTTTGAAGCTAAAAGTGATTTACAAGGATTTTCATCACAGCAAATTCTTCTTCTTGATTATAAAACATATTCTTTCAATAATGAAACATGGGGAATAGGTACAGGTGAAACATGTAATATTAAAAAAATGCTTGAACGAAAAGATGAATTACTTAAAGAAATGCATGAAGAAAAGAAAAGAAACAATTTAAAAGGTATTTTATTTTCAATGATTGATATAATTAAAGAAAAAAATTTAACATTAATTCCTGATGATATTGAAGAAAAAGTTGTACGACAAGCATTTAAAGTTGATATTAAAAATCATATAGCTGATCTTGGTTCAAGAGTTAGTCGTAAAAAACAAATTATTCCAGCACTTGAAGAATATTTTCATCGACAATCTTAATTATATATAATTTACTTTTTGTTTGACTTAATTCGAGCAATATTTTTTGTTATTTTTATTTTATAAATCAGCAGATTCTAGTTCCAATATATTTTTTGTTTTATAGCATCTATCTAAAGACATATATATATATATATATTCTTTATTATATTTCAGATGATCTCACGACAAATTCTTTTCGTTCGACGTTACGTATCAAATCAATTGTCAGTATTTCGACATGTTCATATCAGTAAACCGATGTATCAATCAAATAATCGATCATTTACATTAACAAAACGAAATAAAAAAGATAAATTTGATAGTGGTGCTCTTTTTTTACTCGTATGTTTTTCAAAGTATTCGAATGCGTAATAATTCTAACTTTCGACATGTTTACAATTGGATTTATTTAGATGATTCCAGTGAGTACATTTGCATTAGGTTGTTGGCAAGTTAGCCGTCGAAAATGGAAAATTAATTTGATTGAAAAATTAAAATCACGTATACAAGCTGAACCAATTTCATTACTTGAAAAGTTAGTATTTATTATTGAAAAAAAAATACTATCTAAAAAATGAATTGTTTGTTATTTCATTTAAATTTCTCATTCATATTTACAATGAAGAATTGAAAATTTAATGTATTGTGTTATATAATAGTTTAGATATTTTGCCCGACTTAGAATACTATCCAATTCGTGTTCGAGGTAAATTCGATCATTCACGAGAAATTCTTATTGAACCTCGTTCACGTCTTGATGTCTCTAATCATGAGAATCAAGTTAGTTTACAACAATCGCGTGCTTCAAAAGTACCTGGTGCACATGTGATCACACCATTTAGAGTTGCAAATCGAAAGTAAGTAATTATTTTTGTGTTCATTTTTCACCATATTAAACTTTTCTAGTTTTGACATTCTTGTCAATCGTGGTTATGTTTCACTCGATTTACGAGATCCGTCTACTCGACTTGCTGGACAGGTATAGAAGTCTTGAAAAATAAATCGTGTATATAATGTATCTGATATTTTTAGATTGAAGATGAACATGAGATTATTGGGTTACTTCGATCAACAGATTATGTCAGTTGTTTCATATAATGAAATAGAAGAAATTTTCTGATATTCTTTATTTGTATATTTCTAGTTAAGTGCTATGTGGAATAAAAATGAACCATCGAAAAATATTTGGCATGTACGTGATGTAGCCGAAATGGCAGCTACTATTAAAACGGCACCCATTTTTATTGATGAAGTCAAAAGTAATCTACGCGATTTTGTGAAAGTTTTCATCTGTTTCAATTTTATTGAATTCATTTTAATGATAGAAGTTTATATATATCACTTTCATTATCAACGAATGAAATTGAAAAGCAAAGAAATAGTTACTGTATTTTATCAAGGGAATACAATGTATCAATTACCTTTAAATATCATATTTGTGTTTCTCGAGTTGTATAGACAGTACTTGAGGATAAATATTAACATGATGTATGTGCGTTTCTATTATGAATAGTTATTCCATTATATAAAAGAAGTTGCATCTCATAACATCAAATTCCTTTTTCATAGATATAAAAATTTATCGAAAGAAAGAAGTCTATGAATATATAATCATGCAATTTAAAAAAAACAAAAGAATTTTTGTTTTAAAATACTTATTTATAAAAGATAATTATTCATCAACGCGATAGATTAATATTATAGATCTCAAAATATTATCTTGTTTTAGGCACGTCCGTTGCTGGTGGTCCAATCGGTGGTCAAACCAATATTCAACTGCGCAACGAACATCTTTCCTATATCGCTACATGGTAATTATGATTAATGTTTCAAGAATACTGGCATACTATATTTATGTTTCAGGTTTTCTCTTTCGGCCTTGACTACTTTTATGTGGCTTCGTAAATATATCTTATGAATAAATCATACTGTAAAATTAGTCGCACTATGAAATCTTATATAAAA